GACGGACGGACGGACGGACGGACGGACGGACGGACGGACAGACAGTCACCGCTTAATCGATTTCTCTTTTCATTCTGATCATTTATGTATACATTTGTCTATATCTATCTAGATTCGTTTTGCCTGTTACAAACAACCGTTATGTGAACAAAGTTATAATACCCTTGTGCACAAGTGCGCTCGGGTATAAAAAAGAATACACCAAATAACTCAAATTAAAGAGCTTTCAGCAACAATTACGCACAGATACAACAATTTTGAAACGACGGATCTGAAGCCTTAAAAACTTTTGTCAAAAATATCTTTTCAAAGGTGTTCGGGTTTTGAAATCGGTTCTACACCAAACGAAGACGAAAAAATTTATCTTGGCCATTAATATGTATATATGTAGATACATTAGGGTGCCTCACAAAAAAAAAATTTGAAGTTTTTGCACCGGAATTAAAAAAATCTTTTCTACATATTTTTACGATTTTTTATATGTAAGCTGAAGACACTTCCCAAATTCAAGTTTTTTGTTTATAAATAAAATTAGTTAAAACTTTTATAACTTTTTTGTTTCAAAAAATCACTTCAGATGACAGAGGAGTTTAGGTTTAAAAGTTCTGCATGAAAATGTTTAAAAATTGTAAGAACGGAATTAAAATAACATTTTAGGAGGTATTTTCTATCAGTCCAGCTCTTAATATTTTTCCAAAATTTTTTGGCGGAAGTCTTAACATGTAAAAAATTTTATAATTCCGAAGGAAAAACAGCACTGATTTTAATTTTGTATTTTTTTTTTGTATTGAGAGTGATACACCCTAATGTACATAGATTGACTGGTTTAGAGACGTTTACACACTGAAACATGGTTGTGGGGTTTCCTGGGTAGCTTGCTGTCCACGAACACGCTCAGATAGTTCAACCTGGCAGTTAACGTAAGTGGAACGCTGCCCAATGAGAAAGACTGAAAACTGCGATTTCATATTTTCTAGTGAAATGAGCTAGTGAAATGAGCTCCGTTTTACAAGAGTGAACACTAGACTAGATGGCGACAAAGTGTGTGCAACTACGGCCATTTTTTCCCTTTACAGCGATTTATTTGACTAAATGTTTAAACATAATTTCTCACCTGATAGAAGCTATAGTTATTCGCGATCGCTTCGCCATGCGCCCGTTGATGTTGGTACCACGAGTAGGCGCGTTTCGCCGGCGAGATGAGGATCGATACGATTTTTGCATGCGGCAACAATGCGTGAGCACGTTTCGGCACCGCCTCACCATCAAAATAGGTGGCACTTTTCTCGAACATATAGCGAGTTGTTGGAGACGCAGTGGTGTTCGCCTCCGCTGGGAAGAAGTCCATATACCAGTCCAGCCCTCGATAGTAATTGTTGCCATTAAAAAATTGTATTTCTTCGAATGTATCGGGACTGGGTATATTACTCGTGATACTCGAGTGCATGGAGAGGAATGTGTAGAGAGCTGTGGTGCCCGTCTTCTGCGGACCAATAACTAGAAATTTTGGTAGCGAATCACAGCTTTTCGTTTTGGACCAGATTTTCTTATGGCGTGGATCATCACATGGATTGCCCCAAACGGGATCTACCTCTTCGGGATGCAGGCGGAAATACATTTCCGCTAGTTGAATAGGCGGCGCTGAGCCAAGTTTCAGATTAGTCCAGCATTGCAGGAACTTTATCACCGATTGGAACGTATATAACGCTAGCCGATCCGAGCCATAGTTGGACATGTGCGTCATAAAGATATTGATGGGATTGTAGACGATTGTTTGAAAGAGTTCACCGCCCTGTATGGATTCGTCGAGTTTATCGCGCCCACCGGGATAGCGATCGATGTACATGGTGTGCGTGAAGAGACCGCAAGTCTGGCGTGGCAGCACCATGATGTTGCGATGTATGAAACCACGCCGTAATCGCGCCGGCCGCAAATGTGGATATTCCTCTGTGGAGGTCACCTTCACATTCCACACTTTCTTCCATGCTACGTAGAGTATTTCATGTGCGGGATAGACACCCGAATGATGCGGCGATATCGAGTAACCCGAGTCAGTGGGAATGTTGTGCTCCTTCGCAAAGGCATAATTCAGTTGCATCTCTGTCATGAGTAGCGTTAAGTTCTCATACAGATGAGGCTGCTGATGCTTCCACATGTGCGAAAACCAGTTGAATTCCTGTACGTTACGCAGCAAATAATCATCGCCCAAGTTCTCCTCCCGTGTGCCGTGATGATAGTACTTCCCTGAGAAACCCAAATTGAAGCGGAATCCCGGCACCATTGCCGTAATAATCCGCTGCGTAGCTATCAGTGCCTGCACGTCATCGGGGCGCAGTCGCGTGCCCTTCTCACCAACGAAAATATCGTCAATATCCACCAGTATCATGCGGTCTAGACTCAAGCTGAGCTGCCCGTGACTCAGGAATGACAAAGCGTCGAGAAACAGCAAGCGATGCAGCCAGAAGTGCAAGCTGCTGCCAAACAAGACGCGCTGTATGCCATCAAACTGGCCGTGATCCTGCAGCACAGCTGTTAGTGGGAGCTGAACTTGTCCACCACTATCCGATGGGTAATCCTGTGTGTTGCGCTGCGCCCATTCAATGGGTTCATAGGTGGAGTGATTGTGTTGGAAAACAGCCCAATCATCGCCGGGCAAGGCACCCCAGGCCGTCTCACCGGCACGCGTGAGCCGCAACACTGGCGACGCGGGATTTAGGCTGGCATCGCGCAGTCGCAAATTTGTGTGGACAAAGAGTGGGAAGCCGCGCAACTGTGCGGCTACCAAAGTTTCCTCGCTCGGACTGACAAAGCCCACTATGCCCACTGAGTATTCACGACAGTACTTATCCAGTAGCTCACGATTCCATTTGTCCATGTTCAGGTATTTGTCGAGATTTTCGAAAACTATGACACCGTAGCGGCCTTTGTCGAGATTCGTCAGCACTGGAAGACTTTTGCCAGCCACTTCGATTTTGTACCTGAAATGATCATATATGGAAATGAAAGTAGTTAGCTTTACGAACTAAAACGATAGAGCATAAGTACATAATAAACAAAAATATATAATAAAGTATAAGGGTACGTTCGCAAAGGAAGCGGTGCCGAGCAGAGCGAAGCCGTTCTGACCGGAGCTTTCAAATTAATGTAGCTATATGAAATTATTTATACAGCAGCAATTTTTGAGCTGAAAGCAAAGCATTTTTTGACTTAAAATTTTATTCTTGATTTTTTCAGCCGCTTGACGCTGATGTGAGCAAAAAATCAAAATAATTAAATGAAAATTTATTTTTAGAAAAAGCAATTGCAACCAATTTAACAAATATTTTAGCCGCTTTTCATTGAAGGTAACTTTTGTTATATATTTAGGGCTGATTCCATACAGAAGCACCGCTCCGCCTCATTCAGTGTGAACATCAACAGCTTTCCTTCGCTCAGCCTTGCTTCGAACGCCGCCGCTCGGCTTTCTGTGTGAACGTACCCTTAACAATTTTCAGTAGTTTTTCTATTTTCATTAGTTTAATCTATTTGCATCTCAAAGTTTATTTAGCAGTATTAAATATCAAGATTATTTTTTATATCATTGCAAAATCCATTGGAAAAAACTTACGGCTGCACTGTACATAAAGGTTCTAGAAAACGATGAGAATAATTCTCATGAGAATAGGCATTCACTCACATGAATTACTCTCTTTACTAATTAGACGATGAGAATGAATTCCTATTCTCATGAGAATGTTTCTCATCGAGAGTTAGAGAATCTTATAGCGAAATCTAGGTTGGCGGCGATAGGTGAATTAACTCAGAGAACCTTCGGGCATAGCTATGGGTGATAGGGACTTCAAAGTTTTCTGTTTTCATTGGAAGAGAATTTCAGACTATAATCGATGAAAGAGGGTCGCATAAGTGCTCATTTACACACGGCGATTTTTGGTGCCGCAACTCGACGTTTGTAGGAGAGAGCGCGACGAGGAAAGGAGAGGGGCACCGAGTTGCTCGTGCTCGGGCAACACGCTTTGTGCTCTCGTTCGTCTATGTAAATTGAACCGCGGTCAACAACAATTGCATACACACAAATCGGCATGTGTAAATGAAACGAGCAACACCAAAAGGGAATGTGAAAAATCGAGGCGACAAAAGTTTCCGTGTATAAACGCAGTCTAAGGGCATTCTACCCGGTCATATGGCCTTTAATATCCACACTTATTCAAATATTACCGGCGGAAATGGAGCTGAATTCTACTGCAGAGAGATGTAGTATTATGAAGTCATTTCAAGTGTCTAATAACTGCAGAATATTTCAGTGAGACAGAAATCGGCTCAGTTATGAGCATATATACATACATTGGCTTTCGTCCAAAAATGTTGAACGAAGTGGGGAAGCAGTGGAGTGACGAATATGGGCTGAATATATATAGGTTTCTAGAACATAAGGGAAATGAAGGAAACGAAGTAAATAGTACTTGATTAGATTGTCAAAACTTGACTTGGAGAGCGAGCATATAAATTACATAATAAAACAAAACTCTAAAAAGCTACAAATTGTTTATGCAAACTATGACTATACGACACTCACATATTGACAAGTTTTGAATTTTAATTATATTTTTATAAAAAACCGTATAATGTATGTATGTTTTAAACTTTCGTAAAAATATCAAGCTTTTTAATTATGTAGATTTCTTATACAAATTTTAAGTGTGCAGTTTTGTGCCCCCTTCAATTTTGGTAATTTTCTTCCATACGAAGTAAGCTCGACGATTTTAGTATATGCAGCAATAATGAGCAACACATTCTACAAAGAAAAATTGCCAAAAATCAAGAGTGATGTTAAAAAAAATACCCTCTTAACGCTCGATTTTCAACTGACACCGTTAGAGACCAGACGATCTATGCGTTATACACAGCCAGTCAGATTAACCTAACCTCACACTAGAGATCAAAGCATACTCAGATTTGTTGACTATAAATATGATAAACTTTTACAACTAAATTTAAAAACTTATCGAATAAGAAATTATTGCTTCATTAACAGCGTACAGTATAGTGATTAACTAGACCGCATGAACACACAAATACAATAAATTTATGCTCTGCAAATAATAAATGTGCAACTATGCGGTGATAAATATTTCCATTATATTAACAGCAACAAAAAAAGTTGCATTTAAATGTACATCTCATTGAGCGCATAACTATGTACATATTGGGCTACATAAATAAATAGCAGCGGCTTAATTATAATGCAATTCATTGCTTACTAACTGCATGCGCAAAAACAATAAAAACCTAATCAAGGCCGCTGATTGTGGAAATAATATTTTCCATAGTCAATGGGGCGCAATCGATGAAATATAAAAAATCGCTGGCGTTATATTTTAATCGAATGCTATTAATTAAATAGTAATCGGATATACTTATAATAATAAATACAATTGATACTTCAAGTTAAGTTCGTATGAAAATTTATGATACACTAAACAAATTTTAAACAAGTAATCTTTAATGAAACCGAGGGGTCCACGACACGGACTCTACCAGTCGGATCGCTAACAACTAAACATTTTTCGATTTGCCCTAAAACTGAAAAACATTAAATTTTGAGTTGTGTCGTTATTGCAGAGGAATATCGATTTGTACACATTTATAAACGTGTAAGCTACTTTTCTAAAATTTATTTTTGATGCAGAAATGCTCTTAGAGCGAGCAAATTTAGCTTATGTTACGTTGTTTTGCTGTTAGGGCTCAATATCTATCAGGTTTAAGTTTAGCGGATGTGGCTCCCACAGGCCAATACGAAGGTACTGGACTGGACCTTCTAAAAATCCTTTTTACAATGTTTAAAGGATTTTTCGGTATTTTTTCGCCACAAGTCGTACACTCCCTCCGCCGTTATAAACTGTGGGGTGATGCCAGATCATTTCTACGTTTAGAAAAGTTACAGAAGTCCTTGCTACGATTTTTTAATTCTTTTGACTTAAATACATATTTTTCTTATTAATATAAAGCCGATATTTTTAAAATTTCTATTTAAATTAAGTTAAAAATATTATTCTTCGTGTTTGTTTGTATGTCCTTTAAATTATATATGCATCAAACTGCTATTTTGCTATTTCTCGAACATAATTACCATTCCGACTGACATCGCAAAACTTTTTTATACACCTGAACCGAATACTGCTGCTCGTTATGTTTTTATGTTTTTACCATTAGTGACATTACGTGATTTTTGTGTTCTGCGTCAAATTGACAGCTTCATTAAAATTCATGCAATAAACTTTTTAAATAGTGGAAATTGCAACAATTACATTAGCCGTCCGGAAGCAGATGACACCAGAGGCGCAATGGGATAACCGGGTAGACTGTGAATAATGGCGAAAGGACAGGTGGTTTCCTCGCGCAATTGTTTGTGTAGAAATTTCGAAGTCATTAACAGCTGGCGACAATTTCATTTGCATTTGGCACAGTGTCACCATAAATCTAGCCATTAAAATTTGTTGTTTGCTTTTCGTTGGGGTAATTAAGGATTCACTTGAATATATCTAATAGTGAATGTGAGTGTGACTGCGCGGCGTCAGGATGAGGAATATGAAGTCGCAGGAAATGTCTCCTTTTCTATAAAACTGTGAAAACTGTCAACAGAGATATTCGTACACTTATATTTTTTGAACAGTAACTGCGAAGCTAATTAAGACACAACTGTATTCAGAGAAGCCAGCCCTACAGAGGGCCCGCCCATAGCAGTCCCAAAGAACTGCTCAAAACACCTTAAGGAAGTGCAGGGCCTGGAGTTAAGATCTCAGTCTTGAACGGCGCCAGACAATACAAAGTGTTTTTACCTCATCATCATTGAGACAGCAGCGACAGTTTGGATCTGGTGTTGCCACGTATTTTTCGTAAAAAATCTGTAAAGTGAAGATTAGATATTCAAATCTCGGAAAAAAATTAAAAAGATACAAAGAATAATAATAAAAAAAAAATAAAAAATAAAATAAAAAATTAACAAAATAAAAAAATCCTTTCGTGACTAAAATTTTATATTTTTTTAAATATTTTAATTAAAAAACTTTAATTTTGTTTATATCGCAAAACATTTTTAAATACATGAAGTATACTACGCAAACCGAAATTAACAAACTTTTGAATTTATCCCAAACAGACACGATTTTACTAGATTTACCTGCATTTTTAAGAATGATATGCAAACATAGCAATTGCAAAAAGTTGTAAGAAGAAGAAGTATGTAAGTATATAGATAATGATCAATACAAGTATATTTTTTGATTATGTTAAAAAAAAAGATTTTTTTTGGAAAAAACCCATAAAAACAATTTTTTTTATATATATTTTTATTAAGTATCTTTTTTCCACAAATATCATACACAAATTCACATAATATGTATTTACATAGGTATTGATAATGATCAATATAAATATATTTGGCGCATTATTTTATTATTTAAAATTCGTGCGACGCGTCGCCACGGTGCAATTGAAAGCTTATTTCATGAGTTTTGTACGACTTTAGGCAATTTCATGACATCAATATGGTGGTTCGAAATGGCGAACAAAAAATATAAAAATTTCAAAATTAAAAAAAAATATATTTCATCGCATTTTTCGAAAAATTTTGCCTTTTGTGTTTTAAGTATTTTTTTGATTAGACATTGTTTCTGAGAAAATAATTCATCAATATTCAAAATTTTTGTATTTCATCGGTGGTACACATGCTGTTGAAACTACATTAAAAAGCTTTAGTTGCTGCCCAAAGTATTGATAGTGAAGACCTTTTTAAACGGAATTTTGGTTTCATTTTAATATCTTCACTTTAAGATTTTGACGCTATGTTTTAAAATTAGTCTTCATTTTGAAGATAAATCTTCATTTCTGGCAACACTGGGTGTGCATTTCTTAATTCAGTTTAACCTTAGCCTACGACCGAGCGCCCTTGCCGTTGCACCCAAGTTTTGCTTAGGGGAAA